GGCATACCAGGATACACTACTCAACCATTAATGGAAGCCAACAGATAGTAAACACCATCATGAGCACCACTAGGAACATCACGTTGAACACGTCACCAGCTCGCCGTGACTCTGATTTCAGCCAAACTCCATGGTCAGTTTTTAGGAGCCTCCGTCTGATCAGCACTACAATGACCAATGTATTTAGGACCACCATCATCCCGATCATACCCATCCCGAGAAAGGCATAAAGGTAAGAAAACAGCTTACCACCGGCGTCTGTAGCAAACTGATTAAAGAAACACCAAGTTCCAGGAAACTGATGGACATTCTCGTTTATACCCATTAAAGGTAGGCAAGCCAAGATGAACGAAAAATACATATCCCTGCCATTGTGATGTTAACACGACGTTTACCTAACACATTAGTGTAGAAAAATGGGAACCACACAGCCAGAAAACGGTCTAAGGACATTGCTGCTGCAAGCATCGCCGATGTCATTCCAGCAAATATAAAGAAAAACGACATCAAGTCACACACCGCTTGCCCTCCCATCCATTTCTTGTTATTGACATAAGCGGTAATGGAAACCGGAAGTGGGCCAACGAGGCCTATAAAATCCGAGACTACGAGGGTCAACACGAGCTGGTAGAATGTCCGCCATTTGTGTTTTCGTGACGTGCAAATGAGAAGAACCAAAGCTAGAATATTTCCGGTTCCGCCAAACAAGAGAATCATTACTACTGGTAGGACGGGGAGATCTTTCCCGGGTTTTGGCGTGGAACTGACGAGATTCCAAGTCGTAGGAGTGACGTCATCTTTGGTGGTTAGGAAAGGGGTAGATACTGACGTCATAGTGGTGTGACTTTCCACCATAAATACTAATAAAGAATGTTACAGTCAAGAATACGTAATTCATTCTTGTCACGTGACACAATGATTACCACCAGATACGTAATTCATACTTGTCACGTCACAATGATTACCACCAGATACGTAATTCATTCTTGTCACGTCACAATGATTACCACCAGATACGTAATTCATACTTGTCACGTCACACAATGATTACCACCAGATACATAATTCATACTTGTCACGTCACACAATGATTACCGCCAGGTACGTAATTCATTCTTGTCACGTCACAATGATTACCACCAGATACGTAATTCATTCTTGTCACGTGACACAATGATTACCACCAGATACGTAATTCATACTTGTCACGTCACACAATGATTACCACCAGATACATAATTCATACTTGTCACGTCACACAATGATTACCGCCAGGTACGTAATTCATTCTTGTCACGTCACACAATGATTACCGCCAGGTACGTAATTCATTCTTGTCACGTCACAATGATTACCACCAGATACGTAATTCATACTTGTCACGTGACACAATGATTACCACCAGATACGTAATTCATACTTGTCACGTGACACAATGATTACCACCAGATACGTAATTCATACTTGTCACGTCACACAATGATTACCACCAGATACATAATTCATACTTGTCACGTCACACAATGATTACCGCCAGGTACATAATTCATACTTGTCACGTCACACAATGATTACCACCAGATACATAATTCATACTTGTCACGTCACACAATGATTACCACCAGGTACATAATTCATACTTGACAAGTTTTCAGCTTTTATTTTGAAGGCACCTGTCTGATTTTGATCTGGTTAGGTACACTTTCCAGACAAGCAAGGGATATTAGATATACCCAGCGAAGTGCAGACTGGGACCATTGATGGAGTAGAAGAGGTTGTCCAACGTAGTATGTGAGTGTTTAGCTGAGTCTGGAGTCTGATCTCTAAATGGCTTTTACCCTATCAATCATGTTTGATAAAAAATTAACATATCAAAGGTTGGCTGTGAATTCCTACTTATACATATGTGCAATTTTCCTTAACGTTAACAACATTGTTGATAAAGAAACTTCAGACACATAGTCAAAGTGTTCAAGAAATTTGCCCAATTTTATTGTGAATACCCTTCATTGCGATGTATATCATTTTTGTGTGGGAAAATACTGATACCTTAATATAATTGGAATTTAAAGAACTGACATACTTGTGGGAACAAACTGTGCCCCTTTCTTTTCTGACTGTTTTAACGAGCTGAATTCAAAACAGGTCAGAAAGACTTTCCAATTTTCACTATGAGATATATTGTCGATGTTTTGTCTAACTTTCCTACCAGAAACAAACATGGACTTCTTACCATCAAGCTGTCTAATAAGCATTTCGATTTCTAGGATGAATTTTCTATTTCTAGGTAGTAACAACTAGCTTTCCTAATGTATTGCAACATTCAGGGAATTTTTCCTATAGTCACGATTTTAGCATAAGATGTCGATAACTGAATAAACACACAGTCTAAGGTTTCGAGAGATGAAAATTGATGAAGATCATGGAGAAGGTTTACGGTCGTTTATATGGCGTACGTATTCAATTAAGCAAAAGACGCTTACCCTTCCGGAACATATGGTCTTATTCTCCTTGTATTTCTTTCAGATCTGTCCATATAAATCTGTGTTTTTTGAATATCTGCACTGGTTTCATTGAATCTTTAATTTTATAAAATCTGTTAACATAACGATATATTCTATATTGTTTGTTTAAAGTTAGTTCACGAAATTCAAAAGTGCTTATGGAAATGTTGTTATATTGTCTAATATTTTCATTTTTCTTTATAATTTTAAAAACAGATATATGTTAGCGTTTAGTCGATATGTCTCTGTCGTTATTATCCAAAGCATAGGAACCGAAATGCATGCCAAGATAACAAGATCGTAATATCAATATTTTATTGATATCATCAACGAGAATAAAAACATGCGTTCTGGAGAGGTGTTTTACCTTCATCAATAGCACCATGTAGAACCAAGAAAGCATCAATAGAAAAAGGGCATGGCATTATTTGTAATTTCAGAGTAAATGATAATTATGATTCATGATGACATCGCATATTTTTTTTCGAAAAAAACTACCCGTGGACTCTTGATTTCGTGGATAAATATATACCTCAGTAAATTCATAAAAATGAAATCATGGATTAATAGCACCATAGAAATCAACGAAAATAAGTCCCTCGCCAAAATACTACAACACTTCATTCTAGGACAAATACTTCCTCGCAAAACTTCCATCTCTATAACAACCTTAGAAAAGATATAACATCTATTACTGTTTTCTAACACCATCAAAAATACTTAATTTGATTGTTAATGCAGATCTTTGCGTTCTCAAATTACAGCGGAAGTATTTGAGTACCACAATATATTATAAACCAAGCCAAACGGACAAGGTATCGGAAGAAACGATACACAACACCAGGTATGTGATAAAGTATAAAGGACACGCAATAGGTTCCGTGCTTCGTTTCCTTTAAGTGAATGTATTTCTCTGTGTCCGCTTTTGATTGAATTATCCTACTTTAAGCAGGTAAAACCACCATCATTTGTCCTTGTTTATTGTGCTACACGTCCTTCGCTCGTCTTTCATGAAAACCTCTGAGCCTACATTCCGTGTTATGGTACATCACTTCCCTTTCTGATGAGACCTTGTTTACATACACACTCTACAAAGTCATCGAAGACATTTGTCAGGTATGTTTTCACAGACTTATCATTAACAGATATACTTACCAAATATGTGATAGTTAAACTGATTGTTAAAATATCACAGTGTCTTTGCTGAAGCAAATATGTCTGGGAGCGAAACTGTGCCAATCATTAAAAAATGTACAAACTGTGAGATAACGTAATGATATAATGTAAGATGTTGGGTTTTTTGTACCAAAGGAATAGTTCTAATTGTATGATAAACGTGACGATCTCAATTTCCCTTTTGTGAATTTTCCATTTATGGATAGCAGTATACCTGCATCTCCAACCTTTGGTTTTTACATGTCACAGTTGATTCGATGTTCAAGGACCTGTTTCCTTTTTTAACGATTTTCTTAAGAGAAGTCGTCAACTGACCGACAAACTCGGAACACGAGGGTTCAGGTACAAGATGCGGGTTGATAAAAATTTGGAAAAGTTTTATGGTCGCCATAGTGATCTCATTGAGAAAAATTCTATTTCTTTGTGCGACATGAAGCTGGTCGTGTTTGATGCTCGTTAGTTTGGTATAGGTTCCGTTGTTGTATACCTTGTTCTTATTTGAGAACGTGACATTACTACTTGGATTGACCAAGGTATACATGGCGGGTTTTGTCGATGAAGCAGAAGACGCTTACTCTTCCGGAATACCTGGTCTTATTCTCCTTGTTGTTGAGTGTGAACTATAATTATGTTGCCATGTTGGTATGATGTGTTTTATTTACAAAATTGGACTAAAGTTTCCCCATTTAATATGGATAAATTTCAGGTATTTATGTACTACATAAGTAGTTTGTGATCAAACGATACACCACAACAGAAGTATACATAGAGTTACAACACAAAAGTCAGCTATGATACAGAAGGTGAAAGATGGCCGACAATTACTTCATTTAAGTCACATGTTTAAACAAAAATTGATGTCATGAATCAAGTAAATATGGTACACGATTTACTTTTAGACCAGCAAACATATGAAGAAATTTCTCCATGTTTGATATCAATAATGTGAGAGTCCAAAACATTTACACAGAATGAAACTAATTGTCACCTAAATGATTGTGTAAAATCATGGACGAGTTATTGAAAACCGAAAACGTTACAAATCATGAAGTTTAATCCTGTATCTAAATTTGTAATTACGGTTTATTATCGTGTATTATTTTACAATATCGTGTGCTGAATCGATCTATTCACTGGTGTCTTTTGTATAATCATTTTTCCTTAAATGTGCTAGTTGAACATCTTTTGTTTAAACATTTGTACTGAAAGCTGCTAATCATTTGTGTCTTATAAATGCTTTAGACATGATTATCATTGCAGTTGATCATAACACATGTTTATTTCTTTGTTTTTTCATTTAAGGTGGAAAGTTACACTACTATGACGTCAGTATCTACCCCTTTCATAGCCACCACAGATGACGTCACTCCTACGACTTGGAATCTCGTCAGTTCCACGCCAAAACCCGGGAAAGATCTCCCCGTCCTACCAGTAGTAATGATGCTCTTGTTTGGCGGAACCGGAAATATTCTAGCTTTGGTTCTTCTCATTTGCACGTCACGAAAACACAAATGGCGGACATTTTACCGGCTCGTGTTGGCCCTCGCAGTCTCGGATTTTATAGGCCTCGTTGGCCCACTTCCGGTTTCCATTACCGCTTATGTCAATAACAAGAAATGGATGGGAGGGCAAGCGGTGTGTGACTTGATGTCGTTTTTCTTTATATTTGCTGGAATGACATCGGCGATGCTTGCAGCAGCAATGTCCTTAGACCGTTTTCTGGCTGTGTGGTTCCCATTTTTCTACACTAATGTGTTAGGTAAACGTCGTGTTAACATCACAATGGCAGGGATATGTACTTTTGCATTCATCTTGGCTTGCCTACCTTTAATGGGTATAAACGAGAATGTCCATCAGTTTCCTGGAACTTGGTGTTTCTTTAATCAGTTTGCTACAGACGCCGGTGGTAAGCTGTTTTCTTACCTTTATGCCTCTCTCGGGATGGGTATGGTCGGGATGATGGTGGTCCTAAATACATTGGTCATTGTAGTGCTGATCAGACGGAGGCTCCTAAAAACTAACCATGAAGGTCGGGCGACCTCAGAGTCACGGCGAGCTGGTGACGTGTTCAACGTGGTGTTCCTAGTGGTGCTCATGATGGTGTTTACTATCTGCTGGCTTCCGTTAATGGTTGAGTATTGTATCTTTGTATGGCAGTGTTTGTGTCCCCTGCTTCTTACACCACATCGCCGACACCGTTTGAAATTTTAATGAAGAAATAAACGATGATATCAAATCTACTTTAACATGGATAAATTAATTCTGTTTCTTTTTATCACAAACTATTGATTTGTCTCAGAACTTTAATCTAACATTTCCGGAATGATGTCGGTAAATCGAATGTACCTTGAAATCAACGTAATGAACGATAAAGGCCGCGTTTTCTGTTTGTTAAAAAGTTTCCGGAAAATAGATACACGTGTCTTTAACACTGTTTTTATCTTTTCAAAAACATATTTCAAATATTCCATTTTAAAAACAAAGAACAATCAATTCTAAATGGACATCTCACAAATTATATTGACTATGTTAATTTTCCTCAAGTAAACACAAGTCGGCTGGTGTTGGAAACGGAGGAAATTCGAGAGTTAATAATTATCACATAACTGCAACCCCTGTTTATAATAAATCACAATCTGTACACGTTATTAGTTATAGAGGTCAATTTACGTAGTGAGTTGTGAGACACAAAAAACAACTTCTCTTAACTTGTTAAAGGGCCAGAGCGAAGATTTTTATCAAGTTAAAAAACAACACTACGACAACAATTCAAACGTACATTCTGCCCTCGATAATCTTAATGTTGATTTGGTTACCGAGATCGGAGTCTTGTATACAGCAGGCCCTGGTTGCTCAAAAATTGTTATATCTGAAAATGTATGATTAATAGAACCTTTTTATATCTTAACATACATGTTTTATAAGATCTTTTTTATAACTTAACATACCTGTTTTATAAGATCTTTTTTATAACTTAACATACCTGTTTAATAAGATATTTTTATATCTTAACATACCTGTTTAATAAGATCTTTTTATATCTTAACATACCTGTTTTATAAGATCTTTTTATATCTTAACATACCTGTTTTATAAGATCTTTTTTATAACTTAACATACCTGTTTAATAAGATATTTTTATATCTTAACATACCTGTTTAATAAGATCTTTTTATATCTTAACATACCTGTTTTATAAGATCTTTTTATATCTTAACAAACGTGTTTAATAAGATCTTTTTTATAACTTAACATACCTGTTTAATAAGATCTTTTTATGTCTTAACATACCTGTTTTATAAGATCTTTTTATATCTTAACATACCTGTTTAATAAGATCTTTTTATATCTTAACATACCTGTTTAATAAGATCTTTTTATATCATGTTTTAACAAACCTGTTTTATAAGATCTTTTTTATATCTTAACAAACATGTTTAATAAGATCTTTTTTGTCTTAACATACCTGTTTTATAAGATCTTTTTATATTTTAACAAACATGTTTAATAAGGTCTTTTTTGTCTTAACATACCTGTTTTATAAGATCTTTTTTATAACTTAACATACCTGTTTAATAAGATCTTTTTTGTCTTAACATACCTGTTTTATAAGATCTTTTTATATCTTAACAAACATGTTTAATAAGGTCTTTTTTGTCTTAACTACCTGTTTTATAAGATCTTTTTTATAACTTAACATACCTGTTTAATAAGATCTTTTTTGTCTTAACATACATGTTTCATAAGATCTTTTTTATAACTTAACAAACATGTTTAATAAGATCTTTTTTATATCTTAACATACATGTTTTATAAGATCTTTTTTATATCTTAACATACCTGTTTAATAAGATCTTTTTATGTCTTAACATACATGTTTTATAAGATCTTTTTTATAACTTAACAAACATGTTTAATAAGATCTTTTTTATATCTTAACATACATGTTTTATAAGATCTTTTTTATATCTTAACATACCTGTTTAATAAGATCTTTTTTGTCTTAACATACATGTTTTATAAGATCTTTTTTATAACTTAACAAACATGTTTAATAAGATCTTTTTTATATCTTAACATACATGTTTTATAAGATCTTTTTTATAACTTAACAAACATGTTTAATAAGATCTTTTTTATAACTTAACATACATGTTTAATAGAATCTATTTATATCTTAACATACATATTTACTAGGATATTTTTATATCATAACATACATGTTTAATGGGATCTATTTATATCTTAAAATGCACGTTTAATAAGATCTATTTATATCTTGCCATGCATGTTTAATAAGATCTATTTATATCTTAACATGCATGTTTAATAAGATCTATTTATATCTTAACATGCATGTTTACTAGGATCTATTTATATCTTGCCATGCATTGCAGTAAAAGAAAAAAATCTTGTTATTTACATTTGATACTTACGATAGTGAGCATAGTTTACCGGAAGTAGTAGGTGGCGCCATTTGAGCGCCATAATAAGAAACCAACATCAGAAGAGCAAATTCTCAAATGAACTCGTTTATTTACTTTTTTTGTGAATTAATTTACCTGGCAATATAAGAACTAGTTGTCATACATAATTCTTCAAGTATAAAGATCATGTTTAGATACCCTGTAGGATTGTAAACAAACACATATAAGAGTAGTGACAATAGCGCGTGACTTGCGCAAATCTAATCGCCATGTGTAATATCCCGAACCGCTAACATAGAATTTGATTAGCGCTATCCACAGTCTATGTATTTTGTTACGTCCCAGTTTTTATTTATGTGTTGTTCCCGGTCAGCATTGCTAAATAAACATCCCCCGAAGAACCCTGAATATTTGAAGACGCAAGGGAAGATTTACTTTCATTTATTCGCTTATCAATTTATATAGATATTTACATCTTATCATTACAGGTACGAATATTAATCAACCAATCAGCGCTCGGCGATATCGACCGTTTAAGTGACCTGATGGTCATGAGGCTGGCTCTGGCAAATCAAATCATTGATCCCTGGATATATTTAATTCTTCGGAAAGACTCCATAACTACGGTTATCAAAATAGGAAAACGTGCTCTTAACAAGGGAGGTTTTCTAAAACGGAAGTATCCAGAAAACGTCCGAACCGGATCTGGTAAAACTTGCTCGACCGCGACGAGTACAGCTGGAGATCGTACATCGGAGAGTCGTACCTCGGATGAAGAATCGGAAATGGAGGTTGAGGTACATGCGCGGTGTGGACACGAACTCTCCCATGTTTAGCAAATTGATTGTCATGAGCCCTTACTGACATATCGGTATTTCTTATAGTTTTGTAATGTTACTGAATAAGATAAAAAATGAAGGTCTTAGTCACCAATATTGGAATTTCCATAATGAAATTACTAGCACCACTTTCGTTTCCAAGAAACTTCACATCAATTACCGTTACGTAGAAAAGTTAAATGTTTATTGTTTGTTTTTTCTGTGATTGAATGTATTTTTTTCTTGAATAATAAGTAAAACATCATTCAGTGTTTTTCTGTTTGTTTTTACTATGATTGAATGTATTTTTTTCTTGATTAATAAGTAAAACATCATTCAGTGATCTTATTTTTCTGTTTGTGATTTAACTATTTTGACTGGTTTTTATTTTTTTATCTAAGCATTGAACTGCTTTGTATCTATATACATTGGGATATGAATATCAACGCGATAAGGAGAAATCCAGTAAAGCACGTCCAGGGAACATGCTCAGTATACTTCTATCCAGTTGGCATTTACAATGCTCATGAATGTCAACTGAAAGCAGTTCAATGTATATGTTATCATATTCAATTTTCATCTGGTAATATTGTTCGCATAACTTGCGATTTTCCTAGGACGTTGTCAGTTCTCGGTCTGGTTATTCACAAGGGACTAAGGTCACACTGTAGCAATACAATGGATACAGTAAACGATTAGAGATATAAACATAAATATATATATATATTTACAGATTAGTTGTTTAGGAGGTATACACCAAATATTCTAAGAAATAGAGGATTATAAATTCTCCGTGGTGGAATGGTGTAGTGTCTGTGGTGTAACGATCTAGCTTTGTTACACAATGGAAAGGAACCACAACACATTGTCAAAATCAACACTTATACTGTTAACACGGACCCAAACAGGTGGAGAAATCCGTCATGTGACATGGGGTGTAAGGACGATTCTGTAAACTTATTACACAAATTATATTGACTATCTATTAATTGATGATGATCTTTGACGGAAGTTTTTTCCCAAATGCATTGAACTGGTTACCGCCATTAACGTCCTTCCTCACAGAATATAAGTCGTAAATGTTTAAAGTTATTATTATAAATCAATACATCTATCGATCGATCAATTTGTTTATCTATTAAGTGAGTGAGTGAGTGAGTGAGTGAGTGGGTGGGTGGGTGGGTGGGAGGGTCGGTCGGTGGGTGGGTGGGTCGGTATTGGGTCGGTGGGTATTGGGTGGGTGGGTGGGTGAGTGAATTGTAACTTTTTTATAACTGAATTTATTCTACAACAATTACAAAACAGACTTTCCCTGCTCTTGTTTGGAGGGAATGGGGGTGTGGTTGGGAGAGTTGGGGGTGGGGGTGGGAGGGGAGAGGAGGAGGGGCAGAACGCAGGGTGGGTGGGTCGGTGGGTGGGTCGGTGGGTGGGTGGTTCGGTGGGTATTGGGTGGGTGGGTGGGTGAGTGAATTATAACTTTTTTTATAACTGAATTTATTCTACAACAATTACAAAACAGACTTTCCCTGCTATTGTTTGGAGGGAATGGGGGTGTGGTTGGGAGAGTTGGGGGTGGGGGTGGGAGGGGAGAGGAGGAGGGGCAGAACGCAGGGAAAACCCCCATGGCTGAGTTAGTGACTCCAACAAGTCCGCTCGGTGAGTCAAACTATGGACGTGTAGTGTATAAGCACTGAGCCACACGAATACTAATTAGTACAATTCATATTTATTTCAATGATAATTTGATTATCAAAGACAATGATGATTAAGGTGTTTTCATGGGAGAATTAAAAGTTTGCTGAAATTGGGAGTTAATTATCCATTGTTTTGTCAAGTTAAAGAAAGAGTTGTGTTCATTTCATATGACGACCATATCGTCGTCAACCATTATATATAAAATATAAAGTAGTTTTAAACAATTTTAAGTAGATAGCTCTAACTCTATATTTTTGCACAATACGCCTTGTGTCACACTTATGTCACAAACTGCGAATCTTGTGTTCTTGCTTTCGACGAGATTTTTTTTAAAAATAAATTTTAAACGGATAGAGATTGATAAATGATGGAATCCTTGTGTTAAAACCCAAACTGATGTTCAATAGTTAGGTGGGTTAGTTTGATAAATCAGGACGGAAATAGGCCTATGATTACTAGATTCATCCATCCGTCTAGTTTCCTGTGTAAATAGCATTAAACATTATATATATAAGGTGTAGATAATGCACACTGTGACATACATTATTTAGAAACAAAATTATTAAATATCAGAGTTTGTCAAACTTTGTCTGGAAAACAAGAAAAAATACTAATATGTCAACATAAAGATAATCCCAACTTAAAGTCAACAAGAGTTCCTCGGAACTGGATGTGTCGCCTGCATAAAGTGTCACGGTCACCCAGAACTGGATGTGTCGCCTGCATAAAGTGTCACGGTCACCCAGAACTGGATGTGTCGCCTGCATAAAGTGTCACGGTCACCCAGAACTGTATGTGTCGCCTGCATAAAGTGTCACGGTCACCCAGAACTGTATGTGTCGCCTGCATAAAGTGTCACAGTCACCCAGAACTGGATGTGTCGCCTGCATAAAGTGTCACGGTCACCCAGAACTGTATGTGTCGCCTGCATAAAGTGTCACGGTCACCCAGAACTGTATGTGTCGCCTGCATAAAGTGTCACGGTCACCCAGAACTGTATGTGTCGCCTGCATAAAGTGTCACGGTCACCCAGAACTGTATGTGTCGCCTGCATAAAGTGTCACGGTCACCCAGAAATCGAACTGGATGTCAAAACTAACATGTACCCTTCCAACAAGAAGCCATATACTAAATTTCATTTTGGTAACTCAAAGCATAAACGAAAGAAGTGCGGAAAACTTTCGTACGGACGCCGCCGACGCGTGACGACGGACAAAGTGATCACTTAATGTCCGCCAGCTCTGCAGGCGACACAATAAAACTAGGATAAACGATGAACAAAAGAATGATTTACAGGAAGATTCCTGAAAAAGTACAAGGAAAATAAGGCAACGTGTTAAGGAAGAGTAAGCGTTTTCTGCTTCATCGACGCAACCTGCAATGCAAATCTTGGTCGATGCAAGTGCGTAATGTCACGTGCTCAAATGAGAACAAGTTATACAACAACGGAACCAGCAGGCAAACTAACGAACATCAAACACGTCCAGCTTTATATCACACGAAGAAATATAATATTTCTCAATGAGATCACTATGACGACCTTAAACTTCCTTTTGATGAAATTGTAAAGATCACTTCATTCCTCTTGTGAGCATTTCAGTCAATTCGAAATCTGAATTCACATTTGTTACTAGCTAAAGTCTGAAGCAAAAAGGAATAATTTTTTAACAAAAAAAAAATTATGAGCTGTCTTTTCCATACAGTTTGCGCGACTGAATTTCATTTTGATTTAAACATATTTTATTTTTTAACAAAAAAAAAATTATGAGCATGTTTAAATACAATTATAATATACGAAAAAAAAACGAGAGAGAGAGAGAGAGAGAGAGAGAGAGAGAGAGAGAGAGAGAGAGAGAGAGAGAGAGAGAGAGAGAGAGAGAGAGTGAGAGAGAGAGTTTAAATAACAGTCTCTTGATACAAACAACACAAGTAAAAATACAAAACGCTTTTCATAACTTTCAAACTGAATTTCATCCTCGAAAAGGACGAAAACAAAACCTTCATAAAACTGCCTTTAACGCTATAAAATTCTTAATCAGTAATTTAACATTCACTCCTTTATTTGAGAAAGCGAACGTCTTACCACAGAAACTCTTCATCCCGTGTGATTTTATAGTGTAATTATTGTCAATGCAAATTACACCCTGAGCTTTTTTAAATGACGACGGAAATATTGCGTTTTTCATTTTGCATATAAAGTAAAACCTCGTTATTTCGACGTCAAATCATTCTAAGACCTTGTTTAGTTCGAAGTGTTTCTTCTGTACCGTACAAACTTTTCATCAAATATACGATTTGAAGTGCGACTGTTTAATTTGATATCTGTAACAGGAAAAATAAGTAGACACACACACTTAAAATATTAGGTCAAGCAATAAGAAATATTTACTTCCCTGTACACGACTGAAAAAACAGGAAGTTTTGCTGGTTCAATGGTCAAACCGGAGGATGATCAGGACTTAAACAGGTTTTCCATGAGTACCGTAATTAAAAATAGGGTTTGTTGGGTAGAAGGAAACAAATCATATTTATGTTTCATCTCACTGGCATGTTTTTATCACAGCTGAATGGTACAAAATCGAGTGATCTAGTAAAACGGAAGGCGACCCGGACGTTTCTAAATGCGTAAGAGTTATCTCCCTTAGACCAGTAATGGTTGTAAAGAGGTAGGGCGATGTTCTGAAATATCGACTGTAGCGTCAAGAAAAAAAACAACAAAAATAATAGTTCATTAAAATGTTTATTCTGTACAAGAAGTAAAAGGTCTATGATATATAAGTCTTGTTGTATTTGTATATATTTCTTTCGTGAATTACAAACAATATTTACTTGTTCTTTAATTATTCGTTGACGGCAATACAACTTTATATATTCAACCAGCATTTATCAAATAAATTTTATTTATTTATTTATTCAATTATTTATCTATTTATTTATTCAAAACAGAAGCAATATGATAAGTTTGTTATGCTGATCTCCAGAAGTAAGAACATTTAATTTTCAGCAAAGAGGTAAATTTCTGATGCATCGCTTGGCAATTTATATAAGAAAGATAATTATTTCCTTTCAATAATTATGAGCGTAATAGATGTGCATGGGCTTGTTTCATCGATATTAAAACAGGTACGCAAAAATCCAGGTCTCACTAATGAAAAATATTGCTTTCTAGTGGGAGAGATTTGGATTTTACATATCACAATTAATCATGTTCATCTGCAACCAGTGTAAATTGTTTGACATTATATTTGTTAAGAATGCGCATGCGCTCCATTCTTCATTCAACTTGTAGCAGAATAGGTTCTCCTTTGTCCGCTGCGACTAAATTCATCGGTCGACTTCCGTCGTAGAAAACTTCCTCGGTTAACGAAACGATTCCCTTTGTTAACAACTGCCGATACAAAATCCTTCCGCAAAAGTATATAGATCCATGGGTCAAGGATTTGATTTGTTAGGGCCAGCCTCATAACCAAAAGGTCACTCAAACGGTCAACACTGCCAAATGCTGATTGGTTGATTATTATCCGTACCTAATATCACAAAGGTCGTGGTTATTTGCGCAGTACATATGATATAAAAATATATCCCGACGCGTGTTCAACACAAAGACATAACATAGATTTTAATGTTATTCAACGGGTGTTCAACACAAAGACATAATATAGATTTTAATGTTATTCAACGCGTGTTCAACATAAAGACATAACATAGATTTTAATGTTATTCAACGCAATGAGTGTTTAACACGAAGACATAATATAGATTATAAGGCGGTCATCCTGATTCTAAGGCAGTTGTCGTGATTATAATGCGGTTGTCGTGATTCTAATGCGGTTGTCGTGATTCTAATGCGGTTGTCGTGATTCTAATGCGGTTGTCGTGATTCTAAGGCAGTTGTCGTGATTATAATGCGGTTGTCGTGATTCTAAGGCAGTTGTCGTGATTATAATGCGGTTGTCGTGATTTTAATGCGGTTGTCGTGATTATAATGCGGTTGTCGTGATTCTAAGGCAGTTGTCGTGATTATAACGTGGTTGTCGCGATTATAATGCGGTTGTCGTGATTATAATGCGGTTGTCGTGATTCTAAGGCAGTTGTCTTGATTCTGAAGCGGTTTTCGTGATTATAATGCGGTTGTCGTGATTTTAATGCGGTTGTCGTGATTCTAAGGCAGTTGTCGTGATTATAATGCGGTTGTCGTGATTCTAAAGCGGTTGTGATCAAATGCGGTTGTCGTGATTCTAATGCGTTTGTCGTGATGCTAAGGCGGTTGTCGTGATTCTAATGCGGTTGTCGTGATTATAATGCGGTTGTCGTGATTCTAATGCGGTTGTCGTGATTCTAAGGCAGTTGTCGTGATTATAACGTGGTTGTCGCGATTATAATGCGGTTGTCGTGATTATAATGCGGTTGTCGTGATTCTAAGGCAGTTGTCGTGATTCTAAGGTTGATATGGTTATCTATGAACCTTAACGAATACTGTGGTATCAATTGTACGTGAGACCATTACTGAGACACTGACCGAGCAAACGGTATTCTTATCCAGCCTTAACGCAATTTTTGGTTTTATATCCCATTCTAATTTTTTCCGTATTAAAATTTCTGAAAACATAATTTGAATTTTTGTATAAACAAAGATACAATACTCAACCATTAACGGAAGCCAGCAGATAGTAAACACCATCATGAGCACCACTAGGAAAACCACGTTGAACACGTCACCAGCTCGCCGTGACTCTGATTTCACCCGACCTCCATGGTCAGTTTTCAGCAGCCTCCGTCTGACCAGCACTACAATGACCAGTGTATTTAGGACCACCATCATCCCGACCATACCCATCCCGAGAGAGGCATAAAGGTAAGAAAACAGCTTACCACCGGCGTCTGTAGCAAACTGATTAAAGAAACACCAAGTTCCTGGAAACTGATGGACATTCTCGTTTATACCCATTAAAGGCATGCAAGCCAGTACCAGTGCCAAGATCCCTAACGCTGCTATTGTAAAACTCGCCCATCTTTTTCCTAACTTACTGGTGTAGAAAAACGGAAACCAAACCGCTAGAAAACGATCCAGAGACATTGCTGCAGCTAACATCGCTGACGTCATTCCAGTAAAAATCAAAGTAAAAGACATAAAAGCGCACGAGATTTCTCCTCCGGTCCACGTCATGTTATTCACATAAGCGGAAATAGAGACCGGAAGTGGGCCTAAGAGACCCAAAAGGTCGGATAATGCGAGAGCTAGCACCAGCCGATAGAAAGCCCTCCATTTATGTCTTTGTGAAGTATGGATGAGAATGATCAATGCAAGAATATTACCACTTCCTCCAAACAAAAGCATCATCGCAACCGGAAGTACAGGGAAATTCCTGCCAAGCTCTGGCGTTGTACAGTTGAAAGTACATGTCATGTTTATGGTATTCAAATGTAGAATATCACCAGTATTCATTGTTGTCATGGGCAACATTTCGTATTTCCTGAAAAAAAAAGAACAATTCTGCAGTTAGATCACAGACATGAGTTTGTTGTGAATTTGTGTAATTATGTTGTTTTGTACTCTCTCCTTATATTCCTGTTATGTTACACATTCTGTTTGCTGTTCCATTTTCAAGACAAAAATATTATTTCAATTGATAATTCTTTTCAAATGCTTTTTTAAGATAGTCATCACATTTCTGGAAAACTTAATTATTTTATGTATTAATCTGAACATGCAAAATAAAACTATTTTGACATCAGTTACAAAATGACGGCAGAAAATCTTATTCAAAGCATCTTCAGTGAAGCGATTAACATACCACAGAAATGATTATTCACACTGGTAATAAAACAAATGAAAATTTGTGAGACTTAAATAATGCGGACCATAAGTAAACAGCGGAAACGAAATAATTTGTCTTTCCTGTTTATCTTCAAGCCTGTCTACTTTATTAATAGTCTGCATATAGCGCTCTAAACATGATCTCTATTGATTTACCTAGATCATGTGAAACATAGCTGAAAGTGAATTATTTTTAAGTGCCTAAAATTTTGCAATTTTCATTGGCAATAAGAAAAAATCGCCGGGGCTCAAATTTCATGGTTTTTCAAAACTTACATTTTCGTTGGCACTTGATAAAATATTACTTACACAATCCACAAGTTTTATAATCCATGTCAGCTTTTGATAAAATACTACTTACACAATCCACAAGTTTTATAATCCATGTCAGCTTTTGATAAAATATTACTTACACAATCCACAAGTTTTATAATCCATGTCAGCTTTTGATAAAATATTACTTACACAATCCACAAGTTTTATAATCCATGTCAGCTTTTGATAAAATATTACTAAAACAATCCACAAGTTTTATAATCCATGTCAGCTTTTGATAAAATATTACTTACACAATCCACAAGTTTTATAACCCATGTCAGTTTTTGATAAAATATTACTTACACAATCCACAAGTTTTATAATCCATGTCAGCTTTTGATAAAATATTACTTACACAATCCACAAGTTTTATAATCCATGTCAGCTTAGTTCTAGTTACCATTTTGTGGAATTATAAAGTTGTGGATGTAGACTACGCATGAATTCAAGGAAAATGAATCCCCACAAAAATAAATAGTTTTACAAAATCCAGAGATATGCAGATATATAATTTGCACGAGTATGGAGATATATAATTTGCACGAGTATGGAGATATATAATTTGCACGAGAATTTCGGACCTGGCTTTAAGTACATATTACCTGACTAGAATTTCCAGAGATATGCAGATATATAATTTGCACGAGAATTTCGGACCCGGCGTTAAGTACATATTTCCTGACTAGAATTTCCAGATGTGATATTTGTTATTGTTTTATATATAATTTGCATGTCGTAAGTACCAGCTTTCGCTTTGCCTATTTTATCGTTGACGTCGTTATATATATATATACCTGACTAGGTGTGAATTTCTAGTCATAGATATGCTTGTGATATATAATTGTGTCATTGTGTTTGTTGTTCTTTGTGTGATATATAATTTGCACGAGATGTTATGGAGATATATAATTTGCACAAAGACAGAATTTAATGTAAGTCTTATTATCTTTAATGTACATATTACCTGACTAGAATTTTTATTTGAATTTATGCAATTGGCAATGGCTAAACGTGTGTATATAATGTTACATGATGGTCAGATGTGTCTATCTCATGAGATATATAATGTTGACTTTGTGTATATCGGTGTGTAAGAGTGTGTATGTTGTTATTTTTAGATATATAGTTTATTGAGTGCACGAGAATCATCGGCCCTGCACTACATGCAGGGATGATATATAGTGTTATATTTTGTAATAACCAAGCATATAGCCTCATACCAGATTATATGTATAATTATAAGAGATAAACGAAATGTACAGTGACAATTTCAGTTAATAAGATCGCTTTTTTAACTTGTACAGATACCTCCCCTTGTTTTTTTTATAATTTGCAAGAGTGTAATGTGTTCTATTTGTATTTGTTACAGGGTGTCGTCCTTATGATCGTAATAAATATACAGAACGAACTCCGGTGTTGTGACGTTTCTTGCAACCCCCGATTACATATGCAGATATATAATTTGCACGAGAATTTCGGACCCGGCGTTAAGTACATATTACCTGACTAGAATTTCTAGAGATATGCAGATATAGAATTTGCACGAGAATTTCGGACCCGGTGTTAAGTACATATTACCTGACTAGAATACCGCCATCACTGTGGGGAAAATTCTTCCGGGTTCCTAAATCCATTTTCTCTATCTCGTTAATTCCCACGAACTAGCTAGAGTACCAGCAGGATGATACTAGTATTTATAATTCATTAATCGGATGTATATAGTGACCCAGATTGATTTCCTCCTTACCAATCATCAATTTCCTTTGTTATTTGAAATCAGTACTATATGGTATATTTTTGTCCTATTTTCGCTGTTGTCCTTAACGAATTGTCGGCTGGAGGCATGCCTTAGGTTTTGTGAGATTTCCTAAAGATTTTATGTTTAATGTGTGAAACCAGTTTTTCTTTCCTTCTGTATCCATGCCGTTATATTTTGATAACATTGGTTCTCCTGCTGTATCTACAAACTTTGACACATGTTTGAGGTCCCTTGACTGACTGTTCTTGGTTTTGACAATCTGCATGCTTGTTGTAATCATGTATTCGATGCTAGTAGGTATATCTGCTTATTTAGTTGATATCACACAGTTTCTATCTTTGAGTCACGTTACAATAGGTGAATAAAAATTAATGTATCTGTTAACCTTGAAATCTGCTTTTTACTACCTTTTTTATTGATTTACCTTAGTTCAGTTTTGGGTTGAAATTTTGGTTTAGTTCAGAAAATAGATTTTGGGAACATTATGATAGGGATGTTGGCATTTTTTGTTCACCTGACCTGAGGAGCCAAGAGAGCTAATGCCGAGGCGTCCACCCGTCCGGCGTCAACTTTTCCAATTAAACGACTTCTTCTCCATAACCAGCAGACCAAAATGTCATGGTATTTGACTGGTGGTTTGCGTTTTTCTCGCTATCTTCTGTCCTGATAATTTTGATATCGGAAACAACATGCCACTGAACGTTCTGAAACTGAAAAAAAAACAAAATGAAGATGTTTGCTTCCGGGATACTAATAGATAATATATAAATAAAGACTTGTATAAAGTCTCGAACTTGAAATTGAAAGGGTACCGGAGATATCGGTGCCGGAATTAGTCTCATTAATCAACACCAGGATATGAATATTGATGAGGAAAAGTCACGTGATACGTTCAGACGCGGTCAGAACCAAAACAAAAATGGAGTAAGAGGTGAGTAGTACGTCCATGTGACATCGCTTGTAAAGAGATTTTACCGATAAATGCAATCAATACTCTATATATCCTGTATAGAAATCATCTAACGTATGCATTGATCACATCTTTCAAGGCTTAGATATGACACAAAAACTACGATTAATTGCAAAGAGGCCCTCAAATGGGGGCTACGATACGGTAACGAACATATAGAACATCGCGAAATGGATCTATCTAAAGCGAATATTCGATGATAAGAATATTTATGAGTAAGATTTTTGAATGATACTACGCGAGAGAGCCAAACAGAGAGGATATGGAGTATGAACCAGCCATCTTCCTTCTTTTCGCCTCTGAGTCCGCCAAAACACGTTTTCTTACGTTAGATTGGTAGCGATTTACTTTAAAATTGCGGCATTACAGGGTTAGTCAGAACTTTTGCTACCCGCGAAAAATAGAAAATCATGATTTTTTTATATAAAATAATATCGGTCGGGGAGTGGGTCTGGCTCTTTAAGTATCAAAGGGGATTTTTCGATTCGTAAAAAGACAATGTACTGTAACAGTTTGAGTTAAACCTGTCTTAGATCTACTGAGACAGTAATATACAGGGCACTGTTGAAGTAGCTGAAAGTCCATGTCGTTGATTTGTTTACGATGTAATCAAATGCTTTCAACTGATTTCTTTGAAAATTTCACTAAAATTGTCATATTTAAACCAAAAATGCTTAATCGTACGTGACATCAGTCTACGTAGAAAACTATATAACTGGTGTAATGTTTAGTATTATTAACTTCAAAAAGAGGAGAACTACAGACAAATACAAAGAAAGAAGATTCGAGGAATTCTCAAAACAACGTATAAAATTACATCCGCAGCGTTAAGGAGACTCTGAGCAATAATGAGCTCCTTGGGAAAATTAGGTCTTAATGACATGAAAATACTCTCGTGGAGGGACTGCTAGAGGGCGCTATGAAGACCTCTTCCTATGGCGGCTGTTTTCGTGTAGAATAATTTGAGTTGGTAAGATTGGAGTCATTAGCAGTATCCACATTGCTACAGCATACATTGAGTGTTCCCGAATCGATGTCATAGTTAACAGATAGGAAGGACCACTAAACCAAGTCTGTGTCTTCATTAGCGAAAACATAAAATCGGGAAGGAATGACCCTATAGCCTTGTGATATCATTTATTTGTCAAGATCTCTTCCTTCAATCAATTGGCTCCTATAACGATGTCCTAGGGCGGTGTTTTACTCCACGAATACAAATAATACCCGAAACTAGCCGCTTGTAACAACTTGCTTTGCTTTCTTATAAAATCGAAATGAATAGATAAATTCCAACCTTCAACTTCAGTTAGAGAGACATCAGTGAAGGAATCCATGACAACCGATGATACATTATACACAATCATACATGTATCTTTATAAAATCGGATCAAATATCTGCTGGTTTCCATGTCAACCGACAAGATTTGATATAGAGTTACTTACTGACTATATATGTTATTGAACGCTTAAAACATGCATGGATTGAATTCTTCTTACGAAAGCCAACGGTATTGGTTTCAAATTGGGGATTAAACCCCAGTGCGAATGGTTTGAAATTTAGACAAGAGTCAATGAAAATTGACGGAATCCTATTTGGCTGTTATGATGAAAATACAAGAACGAAATTTTAAATCGATTAAATTGTATTCATGTGTTATTCATTTAAAGATGTGATCGATAATACTTGTCGAAAGAATAAACAAATAAACACGTAAACAAAATCAGAATGAGCGTATTTACACATCTTTAGAAAAAACACCGTTTTTACCAGAAACTCAAGTTGCCTGTTATCTGTGAAAAATTACTCTTTTGGCAAACTGTAGAAAAAAAATCTCATTATTGTTTCAGAAGGATGTTGATTTTCGTGGTGTCTGTATCAGTCACATTTATATCTATGATCTATTCTTGGTAGGTGTTAATTTTCGTGGTGTCTTTATCAGTCACATTTATATCTATGATCTATTCTTGGTAGGTGTTAATTTTCGTGGTGTCTATATCAGTCACATTTATATCTATGATCTATTCTTGGTAGGTGTTAATTTTCGTGGTGTCTATATCAGTCACATTTATATCTATGATCTATTCTTGGTAGGTGTTAATTTTCGTGGTGTCTATATCAGTCACATTTATATCTATGATCTATTCTTGGTAGGTGTTAATTTTCGTGGTGTCTATATCAGTCACATTTATATCTATGATCTATTCTTGGTAGGTGTTAATTTTCGTGGTGTCTATATCAGTCACATTTATATCTATGATCTATTCTTGGTAGGTGTTAATTTTCGTGGTGTCTATATCAGTCACATTTATATCTATGATCTATTCTTGGTAGGTGTTAATTTTCGTGGTGTCTATATCAGTCACATTTATATCTATGATCTATTCTTGGTAGGTGTTAATTTTCGTGGTGTCTATATCAGTCACATTTATATCTATGATCTATTCTTGGTAGGTGTTAATTTTCGTGGTGTCTATATCAGTCACCTTTATATCTATGATCAATTCTTGGTAGGTGTTAATTTTCGTGGTGTCTGTATCAGTCACATTTATATCTATGATCTATTCTTGGTAGGTGTTAATTTTCGTGGTGTCTATATCAGTCACATTTATATCTATGATCTATTCTTGGTAGGTGTTAATTCACATTATGGTGTCTATATCAGTCACATTTATATCTATGATCTATTCTTGGTAGGTGTTAATTTTCGTGGTGTCTATATCAGTCACCTTTATATCTATGATCTATTCTTGGTAGGTGATAATTTTCAAGTTGTCTGTATCAGTCACATTTATATCTATGATCTATTCTTGGTAGGTGTTAATTTTCGTGGTGTCTATATCAGTCACATTTATATCTATGATCTATTCTTGGTAGGTGTTAATTTTCTATTCTTGGTAGGTGTCTGTATCAGTCACATTTATATCTATGATCTATTCTTGGTAGGTGTTAATTTTCGTGGTGTCTTTATCAGTCACATTTATATCTATGATCAATTCTTGGTAGGTGTTAATTTTCGTGGTGTCTTTATCAGTCACATTTATATCTATGATCTATTCTTGGTAGGTGTTAATTTTCGTGGTGTCTATATCAGTCACATTTATATCTATGATCTATTCTTGGTAGGTGTTAATTTTCGTGGTGTCTGTATCGGTCACCTTTATATCTATGATCTATTCTTGGTAGGTGTTAATTTTCGTGGTGTCTTTATCAGTCACATTTATATCTATGATCTATTCTTGGTAGGTGTTAATTTTCGTGGTGTCTTTATCAGTCACATTTATATCTATGATCTATTCTTGGTAGGTGTTAATTTTCGTGGTGTCTTTATCAGTCACATTTATATCTATGATCTATTCTTGGTAGGTGTTAATTTTCAAGTTGTCTGTATCAGTCACCTTTATATCTATGATCTATTCTTGGTAGGTGTTAAATGTTATAAACAATAGTTAGATATATAGCCACACTACACGAACATTTACTAATAAAAACGTTTACAGGATAATACACGGATATCTGGAGTCTAAGTTGTCTACGATACAAATGACAAGGATATACTGAAAAAGAGACACGACTAAAGTGTACCACGATATGTTGATATAGAAAGTTACTGGATTATGGTTGTACCACGGTATGTTGATATAGAAAGTTGTCAAATTATGGTTGTAACACGGTATGTTGATATAGAAAGTTGTCAGGTTATGGTTGTACCACGATATGTTGATATAGAAAGTTGTCAAATTATGGTTGTAACACGGTATGTTGATATAGAAAGTTGTCAGGTTATGGTTGTACCACGGTATGTTGATATAGAAAGTTGTCAGGTTATGGTGTACCACGGTATGTTGATATAGAAAGTTGTCAAGTTATGGTTGTACCACGATATGTTGATATAGAAAGTTGTCAG